CGGACAGAACGGTCTTCCCACACTTTAAAAAGTCGCCAAAGTTCACAGAGCAGAGCTTTTATCATCCATTATTTCCATATTGCAGCTTTCATCCTCTTGCGAGTAGAGAGCTGAGGTACTTGAAGTTTTCGTCCTCCTCCATAGTCGTCCACTCCAATGAACGATTGCGTCGTTAGTCGAGTCGGGTACTCACGAGATCTCCGTTTTGGTGGGGTTAGCTTCTAGACCTACCGCTGATGCCATTTTGCACACATCTCGAGTTAGTGCGAGTAAGCCATTGGCAGAGTCGCTCAGCAGTACAATATCGTCAGCGTACTCGAGACCTGCTATAAGTACTGCTTGGGCACTTTTGGATGAACCGTAGTCTGATACTAAATCCCTCGCTGTTGTACGAAACAACGCTCCTCCGCCTCACATCACATCCATTCACCAATAATACAGATGAAAGTACCTCTCCTTGGCGCACACCACTGTCGATGTTAAACCAGTCCAACAACGACTCTTCTGCTGTGTCGGCGCCTTTAGTACCATCATACAATCTTTTCAGCAAACCGATGATCTTCAGCGGTACACCATTCTGTCGCGGTATGCATCACAAGCACTGACCGTGTACCGAGTCGAAAGCTGCCTGCTCAGAAGTAGAGAACCAGGAGAGTTGCAAGTTCCTTCCCTGTACGATTATCTTCTTTAGCACGGCAGTGTTATGTACACGAGAGTTCAGTTCAAAACGACGTCTAATTTGATCGAAGCGAATCATTAATGATGTCCTACAATAATGGTAGAAGGATTCAAGAGAATCGCGAACCCACGGTAGAAGCTGGCGCAATCAGAACGATTCCCCCTTTTGAATGTGGAAATAATCATGCCCTGCTTCCAGCTCTCTGAGATTTTCAACTTTCGCCAGATGCTGTAAAACAACAGATGGATTCGGTTCGGTATGGTTTCGCCTGGGCACATCAGAACTTCCGCCTGTCGCGCACACAGGATTTCAAACTTCGGCAAAAAACACATGGCATCTCGAATTTCATCTTTCACTGAAAGAAAGCAGTCAATTTGTAGTTCTTTAAAGTCGTCGAACTCAATTTCAGGGCCAGTTTAGGAGTTCTTCAAAGTATTCAGCACATCTCCTCCAACGGCTGTCTGAATCTGGAAGGGGCTCCTTGGATTTGCTGCGAATCAGACAAGTTAGGAGCTTATGTTTTCTGCCATTGATGATGATGCTGACTTGTTTGTACAATATCTTCTAGTCCTTCTTCAAAGCCGCGTAACCCAGGTTCTGCGCTTCGAATTCCATCCAGTGTCACTTGTCACCGCGGTAACTGCTGTTAACTGCTTTCACTGTTATCGATACTCTCGTTTCTTCGTCTCTTCAAGTTTCTGTAAGAACTCCTGCTGTGCTGCGTTTCTTCTTTTGCGAAGAGTGAGGATTTCTGCGGAGAACCACGAGTGCTTCGTCTTTTTTCTTGGGCTGAGTATATCTGCTGCGGCACCGGCGATGAGCTGTTTGGGTTGTTGGCACATCAGCTCCGAGTTTCGGCAGGTCAAATGCTTAACAGCAACGAATCTACTGCTGATCAAGCTCCGGCAAGATTCTGAATCTTTTAACTTGCTGGTGTCGAATTAGGCGTTTTCTTTCTAAGGGACGTGGCCAGCTGGAGGCGGAGCCTTGCGACCTACACGAAGAAATCCGAGTGAACTTAAGCTCTGCGTCGTGCCTGGGTGTCCCGAAGGGAGCTTCGCCTCGGAGAATTTTCTGATGACCAATATGTGTACCAGGTGCCGCTGTCCATGTCAGCTGATGGTGGAGAAACAGCGTACCGCCGACGACGAGGCTGATCGTTCATGCCATCGGTTACGACGGATAAATAATGGCGCGGAAGTGAACCGCGAACTGCGTGCAGACATGCGTAGAACTTGTCCCTTCCTTGATTGTAAGCGACATAGGTGGGGACGTACATGACATCAACGTTGACCTTCGCGTAGTTTGTTGCACAACGGCAAACAAGTATGCAGTCGCTCGTGTACTCGACGGAAACCAGGGCTTTCACGGCTTTTCTGATACAGCAACACTTACTCTTCTGACTAGCGTATGGAATCCAGACCAGTGAAGCTGCGATCCGTATTCCAGGCCGTTTTCCTCCTGGTTTGGGATGTGAATTTATTAAATCACAAGAAGTCGAAGTAGTGTGGTACCGTTCAACCATATGGATGACGTCATTAAGTCGGCGGTCTTCGTTTAACGTTCGCACGTCCCAGCAGGCGATATGGATCTTCTCCCTGCTGATCGGCTGGAGGTCAGACTTCTTGATTTTAAACGTTAGAATCTGTGAATTTAAATCCCTGTCGCACAGGCATCACGTAAGCGGGTCATTCTGCGGAGCGAAAGCGCTACTCGACCACTCGAGGTAAAACATCATGTTTGGACGAACGCTATTTACTCTACGTTCTTGAGTACAGATTGGTGAAAAAAATGGTACAATGATCATCATCAAGCACCCTCTTTGGATGGCATCGCTAATGCATCGTCGTTTCACAGATGATACCTTCTTCTAATGCCAGATGTCGATGCATGATCTCCGCAACGCTTGTGCTACTCTTAGAACGGAACAATCTGGGACAATATATTAGATAGATTCCAATGTACTGCTGCATATCTTCCATTTATCTCAGATGCTTTCTACGTTATGCACTTACTATAGCTGTTCGTGGAAACTACTTGATCTTGCATGACCATTTTAATTCCTTCTGTTTCAGAGAACAAATTTCCCTCTCGAATCAAAGTCGAATTCGTCGGATTTAGAAGCATATAGTAATGCCCAAAAAGAGTTCTCTTACTCCACTCATCAAATCTGAATATTATGCCTTTCTCCTCAATTACTTGATCATTTTCAGACATCATAGTCGTAACTATTAACATCATTATTATAGCGCGCCCTGAAGATGAATCGAGCATGGTTCAAGACAGTGTAGACTCTGTAAATATAAAAAGTTGTAATACCATAATAGATTATCGTAATAAAGAATAAATGTAATACAATACATATGCCGTAATAATAAGAATACAGTAAAAAAGTACAGCAAACCAGAATTATTCATAGCTGAATGTAATCAGATAATTGCTTCGGTCAAATTAAAAGAGCCTGAATTAACATATCTATCTACTTTTGCAAAGTGTGCTATTCTTTCAGCTGGCAGGGACACCTGCCTTATAATGAATTCCAATCGTCCCGGTCTCAGAGACAATGAACCAACGGTGAAGAAATTAAAAATTTTCTTTCTGCTGTATGGGCGTCGGCTGGGCAGGGTGGGCTTCCTGAGACTTTTGATCTTACGGGATTGAAGGAAATAGTGCCGGTCTTCGCAACTGTTGCATGCAGTTTTCACGCTGCGAAAGTCCTCAGGTAAAAATACCGTTTACAGAATGAATTACTGGGAAAATATGATTTGTACAGTAGGCCAGCATGACATCAAGCCGGATTTTGAACGGCGCCTTCGCTCCAGGATGAGACGGTGCTCTCTGTTGGGATGAGTACTTTTTCATGAAAGAAAGTGGAAAATAAGGTTTAACCGTGAAAGCAAAGGTAGATTTCTTTAGTGGACTTCGCGTTTTATTAACTACAACTCAGAAATCTCTATTCGGCCTTAACAGCAAACATGGTTCCTTCATACACTTGTTTCAAAATGAAAACGTTCAAGCAAAACCAGATCTCTGGAGCAAGACTTAAATAAACATCTCATTAATTCATTTAAGATGAAAGATATGGAACCATAAACAAAAGCTAGCACTGATAAAATAAAATTAATACAAACATGCTGCAGAAAACTCACTTTATCCTCTACGTCCCCGCTAATTTCGCTACTGACTGTACCGTAAGTTGTGATTACAACGTCGAACGTGGCCAAACTAAAGAAAGAGAATCGACGAACTCAACAGAGAACGAAAATCAACACAATACCGATGGCGCTTTTGGGAGCGGTTACTTCCGTGGTACAAGCATGTCTTGAGGAAGTTGGACCCAGTGAACCTAGCAATTTCGCTCGACCACTGATGGAGAATCGACGCCGGACAAACGATGAGCGTTGCCTCTGAATCAATCGTGTGTTCGTTGCCTGAAAATCACGCAGTAATGACGCCATTCGTTGCACAACCATAGAAATGCGTTTGTTACCGCGCACACGTAGACCAGCTTTCTGAAAAATTGGGTAAATTTCTTTCTTGGACCTCTGATGCAGAATTAGAGCGATCATGGTCACCGTCTTGCCTAGACCCATGTCGTCCGCTAAACAGAATAAGTGAAGTGATGTGAAGCACTTAACAATAAAATTATAAACGTGCCCAATATTCCACCGGACGGCTTTTGACTTTCCCGCCACGACACCCAGGTCAATGCTTGCTTCTGGTGAATTAGCAGCGGCTTCGACAGCCCAGGAGGATCAGCGGTCTCGACTTCGGGCAACGGTCGCTGTGTGATGGCGCTAAAGAAAATAGAACAAACCAACGCTAGACTCAACGACTCATTAAAAACTGTCATTTTACCTATGCAAGGTGATCAAAGATTCCCGCGACAACGTATCTTTAAATTGCTCAAGTTCGCCAGGTGTCGGCAGACAGTTAGAGTTGGAATCCAGAGACGATACAGGTTGAGCACCAGTGTCAAAATGATACTTGATATCTGAACGGGATCGCGCAATATATATAACAGAAATTCGACGTAGTGGTTAACGAAACTTTTATAATAAATCAACGGCAGCTGAATGCTTCTCTGGCACATGGCTGCATCAAGCAATATGAAGCAATATTCACCCACACTAAGTAATGTGGTAAATTTATCATGAGTACAAAAAGCTGGAATTACACAAGTGCTAAAGCACGTAGATGATACACCTCTAATGACATATGTTGACCTATTAAAAATACGAACTTACACACCGGTCAAAGTTGCATAGAACTAAAACCATTTTCTTAACCAAACTAACGACCAAGGATGACAACTGATAAATAGCGAACATTATCATTCATACGAGAGACGCCTAAAATATGGTAAACGGAGGTGCGGTGGAAGAAAGAAGAGTAGCAGATTAAAAAAGCGCAGACATTAACAAAGTGGACACCTGACAAAATCGGTAGATATGACAATGGTGAAAGATCACGCCTTCGCGGCATTAATGGTGCCACATAGCGAACTGCTTAGAAGCAGAACCAGGTTTTTAGATGTTCTTCACCCGTAAACAGGTGCATTTCATAATGGCAATAAAAAGGAAGAGGAAATGAACATTTATATTGTTAGAAATAAAACTTTCCTTAAACTTTTATCTGGCGCAAATCGTTTCATTCACTTAATGGAGGGACACAGCTTTTCATTTCCATGTCATCAGCCAGGAGTGCTTTAATTTAAAAACAAAGTCAACAGCAGGAATGTAACAAGCTGTACTTAGTCTTTCCCACTTAGTGGTTCTGGTTTATCAAAGTCGGAAGGAAGAAAAGCGAGTAATCCGACCGGCCTCGAAACAAGGAACTCTTGGTTCTGAGCCCGATGCTCTATCGGCAAGCAATCCTGGTCAGGATGAGAACAACAATAAATAAACAAGTAGCAGAGAACAATGTTCAATTAAAATCCACCCTAAATACTGTATTACTTTGCATAGGTTCAATCACGTCTTTGAGATCCTGCTAGTTTAATAATGTACGGAAGCGTATACACTGCCGACGTCCAGTTTTTTCCCGTCGACAAACACCCTGCTGATTTCAGTTATTACCATTACATCGACGACTCTTGCGCTTCTTTCTCTGACTTGTGATGCTTAATAGATTCGTCCTCCTATTTTTATTTGCAGTTTTTACATACGCTGCCCCACGACATCGAATCTGTTTCTGCGCTGACCTTTTTGCTCGTGTTTTGGCAACAGTTCTGTTTTGACTTTCGACTGTCCAGGTACACAGTTGGAAAAATCCTTTGAACGAAATTATGAAACAGCCTGCTGCATCAAGAATGAGAACTCCAAAACAAATTGCTACTTGACTTGACCAACTTTTACTGAACAGTCTGTTCTAATGACGAATGACTCATCAAAGATAAGACTTCTGCACAGCCCCCTCGCTCTTCGTTGCCTAGGAGCCGTTTACGCACGCGAAAGCTCTATGGTATTTAAGCATCTGTAATGCTAGATGTCCCAAGGCAGAGTAACTCGTTCGTGCATTGGAAATCATACTGAAAATATTGCTTAGAACAATTTATTTATACAAAAAGCAAAAGATACTGTGGCCAGCTCGGTGACTGACCAACACCGATGTTTCGGCCTGTGTCACGGTCCTTCTTCAAGGTAGGATAGTGGTGAAGTTTTGTGAATGTGGTTGGTCGTCCGAATCAGTCGACAATTTCAGAACCGGAAGGACCGTAAGAATGATGTCGCATCATTTTGTTGGCTAGGGGCATCGGATACTCAACATGAAGGTATATTAATCATAATTGGTTTTGCAGGAGTGATTTATAGACATACTTGGGCAAAAGAACAAGTCATGATATTTATGCGGTAGCACGAGTACCCGCTTTTGAAACATCGTTCTTCATGAAGGTGAGGAAGCTCTAGTGGACAAATGATGCGAGATGCATGAGGAACTGCAAGTTATCAAATATCAAGGAGCCTTGGCCTGCAAAAATCTCGGCCACTTAGAAAAGGAGCAAAACGGCGGTGCAGTACAGTATTAAATACGGTGTTAGAGGAATCATTCGATATTAAAATAGATAGTTACAGTACAGATTGGAAGAGTCAAGTAACGTCTTCATTATGAAGGTCTCGGTCTCGATGCTGGAAGCGGATTCATAATTCGGTTCCAACGCAAAATTAGTTCCATGCACTTCATCCGTGCATTGGTTGGATTTTACTGCAAAAGTATTTTCATATTCCAACTTGGAAAGTTTCTCTCTCAGCTTATTCTTTTCATTTTGTCTCACAACACGCCCTATTATTCATCTACCATAAGTTCCATAGCCGTTGAGTTTTTGCAGCATTTCTAGTGCACCAGCTGTAGGTCTTCCGTTTGTTTTCTCCTTTTTCCTTTCTGCGCTTGTCCATTATGATTTAGATATGCATTGCACCATCTTGCCAGATTATCGTAGAGTCCTTTTTATAGTTTCTGCGACATTATCCCTTTATCATATGTAACTGAAGCCACAGTCACAACATAGGGCGTATATTCATAGATTCAACGTAGATTCATCTTTGTTGTTTTGACCGC